TTTGCGTTCAACAGAAATATTTGCAAAAAATTAATGTTAACTCATTAGTTGTCATATCTTTTATGTATTTACGAGTATAATTATAAATTTCAAACGACCTTAAGCTTCTTAAGTTAACTGTAATTCATATTAAGTTAGGAAATAAAGCAATCCAAATAAACAGATTCTTGCTTTACGACATCATATTTTTTTTATAGAGGGAGAAACAAGCCGCTCGCACTATAGTATTTTTAAAAATAAAATTGCAAACTTCAGGAATGGAGTATTCAATCGCAAGAGTTACATAAATGCAACAATAAATAATAAAATTTAGTTCATTTTAAAAACTAATGTTAATTTGATCTTTAATAAACGTCGATTGACTTGTGAAACTGGTGTCAGCCTCTTTCGCCTCTTTCGCCTCTTTCGTCCTTGATTATCACAAAAAAATACCAGAAAAAAAGTGTCTTACTTCATTTCAGGGTATGTGTATGAAATAAATAAAGTTGGGTCAAACCAATGGTTTGTATTGTAGCACTATTCCCTTCAACAAGTGAAAATTCTGCTTTTAAATACAGGCTATGTATACCTACCACACTATTAAAATTATTTTCATTCAAATTTAAAACTATTTCTAGGATTGCATATATTTAGGATGACGCATATACATATGCAGTCTTTGAAATAAAGCAAAAATTAATATAAAAAGGGGTTAAAATAATGCTCGATTTTAAGGGTTAATTGTGTGAGTTAAGAATAATAATTATATTTTTTAATATCATGGAATTTACCGTTAGCTTTTTGCGTTTATAGAAATTTGAAAAAACTTGCGATTTCGGAAATATATGGTGTTAAAAATTCAAATTTTACAAAATTCAAGAGGCGATAACTTGAGAGGGGCTGTGACTTCAAAAATGCAGTACAAAAAGTTTTAAAACAGTTTTAATACAGTTTTACTACCGCCGCAAAGCTTTTAATACCACTGCGTTGTATTAAAAATACGAAAGCTTTTACTACCTTTTTGAACATGAATTTGACGATCTATAAACTTTTTGACGTTTAGTAATTTTCAAAAACAGTTTTCTAAAAACAATAATATTATAAAATTAATCTTTTCAGAGTAAAATTAAAAATAAATGAATAATGAATTTTTTAAATTTATTGGATTGCAATAGCTTTAATCAAAACAGCAATTTAATAGAAATTAAAAAAATTTTAAACAAAAGAAGAAAAAAGAGATGTGCTCTCCTTTGTAATATTGTAAAACCAAACAAACTAACAAGGAAAATTCCAAAAATAATAAATTTCGACCAAATTATTCAAAAATATCCTGATGACGTATTTTTCAGTCATTTTCGAATGAGTACAGCTACCTTTGAAGTAAGTGTATATTCAAACATTAACAACTAAGCATAGATTTGAATTTGTAAATACTTTTAGGTGGTACATATATAACATGTTAGAGCCATCATTTGTTTCAAACCAGATCGGTCGGCCAAGTTTTCCGCTGAAATATTGTTTGCTTGTTACCATATGGAAATTGGCAAACAATAATACGTTCAGAGAAGTTAGTGACCGGTTTGGAATAGCACAGGGAACAGCCTACCATATTTTTGTTAAAATAACACGATTAATCGCCAAACTGAAAGGTAAAGTTATCAAATTCCCTCGAAGTGAAGCTGCACAAAGACAAATAATTGAAGGGTTTGAAAATAGTCGCTGCCGTCCTTTGCCAAACACCATAGGATGCATTGATGGTATGCATATACGAATTAGCAAACCTATAAAAGATCCAATAAGCTTTTATAATCGCAAGGGTTTTTATTCAGTCCTTGTGCAGGTAAAATTTTTTATTCATTTATTTAATTTACAAAAATACGTATTTCATAAATTCTAGGGAGTAGTTGACAGCCAAATGAAATTTATAGACGCATTTGTCGGTTATCCCGGCAGTTGCCATGATGCGGCTATGTGGAACGCAAGTCCGTTAAAAGAGGCAATTACGAATGGTAAATATTCTGAATTCATAAATAAATATGAACATGTTTATAAAGATATATTTATATTTTTGTATTTATTTTGAGGTTCCATCGTTGTTCCACTAGACAACCATTTAATTGGTGATGGCGCATATGCGTTGCAAACGTATATGATGGTACCTTTTAAGGAAAATGGATTTCTCACCGAATGTGAGAGCAAATATAATACCGCTTTAAGTTCTACTCGCGTGTTTGTAGAGCAGGCATTCGGTATTTTAAAAAAAAAGTGGAGGATGCTAAATCATCTAGAATTACAAAATATAAAGGTATCAAAGACCATAATTATGGCAAGTATTGTACTCCACAATATTATTATTGATAACGAAAGAGTAACCATAAATGATATGTGCGAAGTGGAAACTGATGCTGATGCTATTGATACTGCCGAATCCAGTATACTTGATTTTCAAACAGAAGCTGTAAATAAAAGAAATAGATTGAAAAATTTAATTTGTGCTTAAAATTGGTAAAATTTAAAATTGAAATACCATTTTTAATTTTGTTTTCATTTTTTTTTATTATACATACACATTAATATATACATTTGTACTCAGTATAAACAGTTTTCTAGTTTTAATTCATAATTTTTAATTCAGGTATCTATGAATAAACTCTTATCTCTATGAACCCAAACAAAACAGTCTTATTCTTAATTAAAAACAAAAAAACATTTCATTAACTTAAGTATTAAATAAAGTTTAAAAATTACTACAGTTAGAAAATTTCATATGCATTGAGCAAATCAAATTTTTTAATTATGAAAATCTTAAATTATTTTATATGAACACATTAATTTAAATCACATTTCAGTTAACTTCTAATCACATGTAGAAAAAAAAAAAAAACCACAAAACTTTGACTTTAATTCGAAGACAAAATCAAATTTTATACAAAAATTAACTTTTGTAGTATTACTTGGTGAAATACGCTTTGAAAATATCTGTTAATTGTTTTAGTTATTCTATTTTATCTCTTTCGAGTTGTTCCATTTTTTGAAGTTTTGCTTTTTCTAAATCTAATAATTCTTGCATCATTCTCTTATCTTCAGCAGCCTCTTTCTCCAAAAATTCCAAAATTTCATTACGACGTCTTCTGGTTGCAGTGGTTGCGGCAGGTGAATTAGTACTTTCTTCAAATGAAGAAGTACCAGTATCTTCAAGAATATTTTCTATTGATTCTTGCAAACTTGAATCTAAAATATATGAAGGAACAGAAATGTTACTTCGGGTTCCGTAAATTTCGTCCAACTGGTCGAAATACTCCCACGAGGTGCTTTCTGCTCCAGAAGTATGGTTCCGCCTTTTTATTCTTTTGTATGTAACCATAATATTTAAAAATTTTTTATAGATCTCATCCTCATTGAAAGGAAACTCTTGATCTATTTTTAATATGTCTTCTAAGACTTTTTTCCACAGGGCTTTGTTTTTTTTTCGTTTAGAAATAAATTCTTTCTCATAAGATAACCTTATGGAAATTAGTAACTTCTTTTGTTCAAAAGTCCACTTCTTATTTCTGAAATTTACAAGAAGAATAATATTTGAATATTTATCTGTAAAGAAAATTATTAAAGCTTACCCTGCTTCTTCCATTTTCAAAGAACAAATCCAAATGTAACAAAAGTTGTTGAAAACTTTCAATTAGAATATAAAAATGTAATGTCACACACAAAAATATTACTTTTGCTTTTACATAATGAACGTTACCAAAGTTTAAAAAAAAATAGCTCATTATACTAAATTTTAGAAAAAAACTGGACGGCTTACAATTTTCTGTCAAAAATTAGCTTTTGTTTATTTATTATTTAACACTGGTAACATATTTATGACATGTATATAAAATGCAGCCTAAATTTTTTCGCTACTCTCTCTGCTTTTATTTTACGTATCCACTACATTTATTTTACATTTTTGAATATGATACAACGTCAAGAGCTTTTATAATACATTTTTGAATATGATACATTGTAGCAAATACGTTTTTACTGCATTTTTGAAGTCACAAGGGGTGAAGATGGAAAAAAATTTTCTTCTAACGAAATGAACTATTTGTTAATGTCTAAAAGCTCAAGCTTCTACGTGCTGGGGCCTTTAAGAAAAACGACATCAAAAATTTGGAAAAAAAGGACTTTAGATAACGGTAAATTTGAACGGCCATTTTGTTTTTCTAAAGTTTAACTATAGTATACTACGCTAGGGGAAGCAAGCCACTGCCTTTCTGCGTTTGCAAAATTTCAAAAATGCTTATGGTTTCATTGCAACAAATAGTTAAAAAAAGCCATTTATAAGGTTTTGAGGGGGTGTAACTTCTAGAGGGGGGGAGATAGGTAAAAATTTTGTTCTACGGATGTAAGTTTGTAGTAAAGATCTATATACATATAAAATTTCAGCTTTCTATCTTCAAAGATGTAGAAGTTTTGTAAACAGACACACGGACAGACGGACGGACGGACAGAGTGAAACTAATAAGCACTTTTTTCAAAAAATTTTTTGGAAAAGTGCTAAAAAGTAAATTTTTATACAACACCGGTATAGATATGCTCTTTAAATGAAAAAGAATGATATGAAATTTACTTTTCTGGGTTTTCCGAGTTGAGCTGAAATAATAAAATTGAAATTTCTTAAATTTTTACAATAACATAATTCTGATTGCCCTGCAACCGCGAAATAAATTGGCAAAAACCAATTACGATGTTAGTGGAATAAGTTTGAGAAACTTTAAATTTTGTAACATTTATGAATTTTTTATAGGATTCTTTTAATTGTGATCTTAATCGGCAATAATTTTGCTAAATACTAAAATAAATTTTACTCAATTCCATGTCAATATCAATAAATTCAAAGAAATCCTTTTAAAATTTTTAATTAAAATTAATTTTAAGTGTAAAAATTAAATCACCAATGTTATTTGGAAAAACAATTAATAATTTTAGTAAAAAACCCGCAATATTGGGTATTAAAATTTGCATTTACCGTTTTTAACTCTTCAAGCAGCACAAAAAGTACAAATTGGATTGTTATCTTCGATTGCAAAAGTATTTGTTGTTATAGTTTTATCACATCTTTTACATTTAAAACAATCTTTATGCCATCTAGAATTTAAAGCAATTAAAGCTTTATCAGTTATAGGTTTAGTACAGCCATAACATTTCTCAGCAAACATTTGTTCAAAATCTTCTTTACAATATGCTTTGCCATCACGTTCATAAAATGTAGAGCTTGATAATGATTTTTCACAATTTCCATTACAAATAAAATGATTTTCATGCCAAGTATGTCCCAAGGCTTTTATAATTCTATCTTTAATTGGTTGATTACAGCCATGGCAAATATCTGAATAATTATTTAGAAAACATTTGGAACAAACTGGTTCATCAAATTTTTCATAAAATGTTAAATCTGATATTGGTTCCTTACATTCTTTACATGTAAAATGTTCTGGATGCCATGATTTTCCCAATGCACTTATAACACGATTTGTAATAATTTCATTGCATTTGAAACATTTATTTTCAATGGACATAGTTGAAGTCTTCTTTTTTCAATGCTGGATTTCCAATATTCTCTTGAAATTTTGAATTATTTGCAAAAGATCGAAATCAGGGATTTAACAAATGTGTATAATAGTTTGGAATTATTTAAAATTGATTTTTCTTTTTTATCTTTCTTTAATTTTTTACTCAACAGAAAATTTTCTTATGAATTAAATTCAAAATTTTTAATAATGACAAAAAATTAAAATGTATAGATGATTTTTAAAATTTTTAATATTTTAAAAGAGCACTTAGTTTTTGTTTTTGCTCGTTAACTTAAAATAATTTTTTGTGCTGAATTTCTAGCTTTAAATTTTCAAGCATCAATGGTGTAAAACAACCGGTAGACTACAAGAAGTTTTCAATATTAAAAATTATATTCTACACGACAGTGTATTTCAAATTTATTTTAACCTAAGTTTTTAATATGTTTATACATAGTTGTTCTACATAACATTCAGCTGCTGGTGTTCATTTCAGAGAAATACAACGCCATACGTGTGTCCGGTACTCATTATTCTCAAAATAATGTTAATACTCAGTGATCGAAAGACAAACTTTTAAGAAAACAAACAAATTCATAAAATTTTATAATACCCTTTTAATCGATTAGTTGAAGAACAAGGGCCATATTATCCCCACCGCTTTTTACATTTTTTTAATCAATTAATTAAAATATTTGAAAACATTATTTTGCACCCAGAATCAAAACACTAATGAGTTATATTTAATAAAAAAAAGTTAATTGCTAAGAACTTAAAATGTAAAAGTAAAAGTGGTTGATGTAATAGGGTCCCGATCGTTTCTCTTCTAATTTGACATAGCAGTAGCAGTATTTTCCCTCATTCAATGACATAAACAAAACTGTGTAATTATATTTAGGTTCTCGAAAGCTCATTCAAATTTATTGCTCTATTATTAAAGCTGAATTAATACTGAAGTAAAATAAAACACTTCAAGCTCATAGCATTACTTCTGACAATATCCAATATGTGTACAACAGTCAACAGTACACAGACCTTCTTAGTTGAATTAGTCCTCTAAGTTTCAATAATTTCAAATGAGTTCCCCAATTAAATTTTTACTTAGTTAAAGAGTCGCTTTTTAGCAATTTTGTGTATTGAGAAATTCTATCGCTTTCTCAATACACAGAGCTGCTAAAAGAACTGAAAATATTATAATAATAAATAAACACACTTAATTCTAAATTAAAGTTCTTTGCATCTCAAAAATTTTTTAGAGAATCGGTTCTTACAGTTTTCTAGTTCTTATATTTTTGCATTATTCCAAAAACTGAAATTGGTTGTCAAATAAAAAAATTTTTACCAAATTTTAATTTTCTTTTTAATGGTCAAATATGTAAGTTGGGTGTCAAGAAATATTTTTTTTTGCAAAATATTTAGGTAATTTCATATAATAATTTTCTTGATTAAATGACAGGATAATAATAAACAATACAAACTTTCTGCAAAAAAAGAAATAATTTTTAGCCACAATTACGTCACATTAAACCCATGTAATGTGTAAAGAGAAAAAAGGACAAAAGAAATCAAAATGTCTCAATACCATTATTTCGTGTGCAATTTTGTTGTGCTCTTTGTTTTTTGCCGGAAAAATAAAAACATTATTTCCTTTCTTCTTAATAATTTTGAGCTTCAAATTTATCCATTCTTTTTCAATTCTCATTTTTTATTGTTTCATTTTTTTTTTTTTATTTTAAATCCTATTGTTTTCTTTTTTAGCTGGTTATTTTCTTCAACAATTCAATTTTCAACTATTTATTTTTTTTATTGTTTCTTATTATTTTTTTTTTTGTCAATTTTTTGTCACTATTATAAAGAAATTGAATAAAAATGTAGTGGAAAGAAAAAATCACATTACTATTGTGAATGAATAGCAAGTGAAAGCGAACCCTTTATCTCAATATCCACTTTCTTCTATTTCTCAACTCGCTTATCTTATATTTAATTTTTTTTTACATCAATGAAAAGTATATGAAATTATTTTGTTATTTATGCAAGTACATTTATTATTATTATTATTATTAACAGAGTGTACTGAAAAGAGTTGAATTAAAGATTTAATAAAGACAATAATTTCTTTATACCACTTCAAAATATAATATAAGACAATGGAACGATTTACACACTCTTAAATAATATTATGCGCCTATTTTATTAAGAAAGTAAACTAAATCATGATTAATAGTGCCAAATTGTAAAATTTAAAAAAAAAAGTTATAAAATATACTTGAATTTTGATAAGAGTCAAAAACAAGGAAACACGGAAAATTTTAGATCATGAAACTAAATTCACAACTACATATATAAAATGGGCCTTTATAATAAGCAGAAAATAGTTTGGCTCATTATGCTAAAAGTAACAACGCTGCTTAGAATTAGGAGTTCAAACTTTTAAAAGTAAGTTAATAAAAAGATTTCATTCTACGAATTAGAGTACGTTCCTTGTTGACAGTCTATTTAATAATCAGAGGTGTTACGAATCTCGTGACTAAAATATAATAAATTATCAGTAATTCTTTACTTTGCACTTCAGTTGTAGGATATTGAATAAATTTTTTTATTAAATTTTCTTTAAAAACTTAAAAGTTAAGATAAATTTTAATTTCAACATAAACCAAATTTATCAAAATGAAAGTATTCCGCTGATTGAAATTGAATATTTAACTTAAAAAAAAAAACTCAGTTAATTTAATATTTTCTGCCTGATTTCGTTGATATTTTACAATTTGCACAAACAAGAGGTCTAAAACAAGAGATTGCTATAACGATTCAATATGAATGAATTTCAATTGCCTAAATAACTTAAGGGGTACATACTTTGTATTTTGCTTTTATCGAACGAAAAGACTGGGCGCAATAAAATGAATTAAGTTATTCCGGAGCCAAATTCGAAAAAAGACAAAAACAGAAATTTGTGGGCTTCCGTTCACCATCGAATTCGATGAATGTACGATTTCGGCTATTACTTCCAAATTTGTTTTATCAAAATTATTCTCATTAAATTTAATTGTTCCGTAATACTGCTTGTAGACTCAAATGGAAGTTTATTCAGAATTGATTTTATGTGACTAACCAATTCAAGTCGATAATGACTATTTGAGATTTCCGTTCACAGTTTTTTATCTAGTGATAGAATTAAAAATCTATTGAAAAAAAATTTATTGAACGCAATCGTCTTCCATAAGAGCATCACAATTTTTAAATCGAATTATTAAAGACGAAACTCAAAACAGGTTCAATAAATTTTATATTTCATACAGTTATATAATTTTTAAACACTCTGTGTTACTATATCATACACAAATAAATGTGAAAAAAAGAACAGGCAAAATATGATAATATAATAGCAAAAAAAAAAAAAAGAAGAAAAACAAAATAAATAAAATAACGTATTTATTTTAGAAAATATGAAAAAGAAAGCAACAAATCCATTTCATCATATTTTATCCTGAATGAGCTAAAGTAGTATATTATTGTTATCAAATGGTTCTTATGTATAGCTGGTTCATAACCTCTTACATTCAATTCTTTATAATACACAATATTATAATGATCAAAGTGACAACAACAATAACAGTATATTATAAAAAAAAAGTACATATTGGTTATACACACACACTCACGTATATACCTATATGTACGAGTATCTGTATGTATTGTAATCTCTAAAATGTAACAATAATGATGGAAAAATAAAGTTGCATATTGAAAAAACAAAACAAAAACAGCAAAAAAAAAATCATTTTGGAATTTGATATTATTTCACTCCATTGTTATATAGGGAAAAAGATATTACGCTTTAGGAACAAAACAATAAAATAAAAAAGAAAAAACAAATGGGAAAATGTTGAAAAGGGATAGTAAGAGAAAATGTGAATGAATTTAAGAAAAAAAAAAAAACACAGAAGATCTAAACTAAGATCTTCTTTTCTTTTCGATGGGAATTTCATGATAAATTATATATATATACTTGGTATATACGTAATATGTACGTAAAATGCAAGAAATTGCATTGCATATAGATAAATGGTATCCTTTTTAGGGGGATAACTTCTATATAAATGCAATTTTTAGTATATACCAAGTATAACTGACTTATACATGAGTCGATATAATGTACGTACTAGCTAGTATCTAGTAGTAGTACGTACTAGCTATAAAATATTTCTAACAGCCATTTTGCAGGCAAGAAAACTTAATCAACAGTCTATAAATAGATTTTACAGTAAACAATAAATAATTTTAAAAAAAAATTTAAAATAAATTTTATATAAATTGAAAGGATTCACTTTGTATATAAATTCCATTGTCAAATTGACACTGTTAGTTATTGAAAATTTTAAATTTTCCTTACTGCTTTGGCAATGAATTTATGTAGTAGTACATACTAGTAATTAGTACATACTAAATAATTTTGTCCAAAAATTGAGCTCAAAAAAATTTTTCATCAAAATTGAAAAATTTTAAAAAGCTCTATGACAAAATTTAAGTTGCATTAAAAAAATTCAATAATGTTAAATATTATAGATTGCACGGAGACATATTGCAGTAATGTTGAAGAATACGGAAACAAAGCAAGAAAACTAACACAAAAAGTACGTCTGTTATTTGTTATATACAGCTAGTATAAACAACTCTAAAAACCTTCTATTCTAAACATCTTCTTTCTTAAAAAAAGTTCAGAGACACCTCTTAAAAAATATTTATTTAATTAAGCTTAAATTCAGAACTTTAAGGTTTCTTATTTATGTTCTATTCAATAAGTTTTACTGTAAAAGCAATATATGTACATATATTAAATTCCCAATAATATTATGTAGGGGAGAAGAAAAGCATAATTTTCAAAAAAAAAAAAACATATTCCTTTAGAACTGGTTGAATTTCTAATATTTTATATAAAATATATTCACTTTGTTCTATCGTTTATCCTCCGCTGAGATAATATAAAATAACATGAAAATCCTTAG